TACACAGTACAAAGGGAGGGACTGCAAATAAATAACAAGGGCATGTTTGTTTTTAATTTTGATTTTAAGATAAACCTTCAGTTTGTCTTGTAAGTTGCTCAGAGTTCTTGATATTACTGCATCAAGTTATCATGTTCATACATGTACCTGTACCGGGTCATGTACATGTACATGCATATTGTTTAATATGTGAGTGTACTTGTACATGTGCATACATGTACATGTACATGTACATGAACATGTACAAGTTCTGTACATCTGTATGTACACATCCTATGACCCAAAGCCTTATGTGCCAAATGTACCAGTCCTACTACCGTACGTGTAAATAATCATTCTTTGAGCTCATGTGTATGGGCGGCCAAAAGGGCTAGGCTATTATTTACACATATTATATACTTATATATAATATATTATACCATATAATACTTTATTTTTTGTAAAATTAATTTTGACCATTTTGGCCAATTTTGACCCTTTTGGCAGCCCGTTTTTTTTTTTTTTTTTTTACAAAAAAACTCAATTCAAATCAATAGACAAATTCTCAAACAAACTGACTTGGCTCCATCGTGTTGTACGGTGGAACCAAATTTGTTTAAGAATTTTTTAATGATTTGTGTTTAGCTTCGTTGCTGAAAATTGAAGTAAACTGTTGATGACCTTTGGTTTCGACAATTTGTTTCCTTTTTTTTCTTTTTATCAATTGTTTTCTTATTTGATTTACTGTTGTCATTTTAGGAACTTTGGAGGTATATTGTTTTTAATGTTGGTAATTTATTTGTAAATAATTTCTTTTACAAATGTTTTGTGTTTGTGTTTTACTATTAACTACATTTTGATGAGAAAATATTGTTCGCCCGTAATTGTTTATTTTTGGTGAACTAGAATGCACCAATTATTGCAGAAGATGTACATGTACATGTACTCTGTGTGAGGGACATTGAAGCACTGTGTCTGTTTGCATGTGCCACTCTCTTCACTCTGACCACGCCGGGTTATTAGACTTTTGTTGGTGTTCCCAGCTAAATTGTATTTGCTCATGGAACACGAGTTTGCTCTCGTCACTGTCTCTGCAATCCGAACCGCCATTGCTGTTTATGTAAAATGCTCATGCCATTGTCTCTTTTCGTCTGCGCGTCAATCTTGTCAATTCTTTTCAGCATTAGTTGGAATAAATGATTTCTTGAAATTCAACCAGTCGACAAAACCCCCAGTGCTTTATGAATCCCAGTTTTCTCTGATAAATGAGTTTGTTATAAATCCTACATGTAGATCCCCCCCAAGAAAGGAGGTATACAAAGGACATCACAATCAATAATTTTCCCTGAAATTTAATATCTACGTGTAATTTACTGTTCACATGTTTCAATTTGTCAAAGGGTTTTAATTTATCTTGCATAAGATTGTTCCAGTGAAATCTATGACCATGGTACAGGGTATACCAAAGCAATTGTTGCCTGTGGTGACAGGGTCCATGGTTTTTTGTACACCCGAGGGGGCAAATGGCACTTGGGGTGAAGTCGAGGGTGCCATTTGCCCCCTCGGGTGTCAAAACACCATGGACTCCTACATTGTAGGCAACAATTGTTAAGTGGACTGGTCATGTCCATGTAGGACCAGTGCAGTCAACCGTATGTATCACTAAACTTCTCCAAAATCCACCATTGTGCATTATTATAATAATTATAATATCAAAGTACATGTATATGTCTACATGTTGGCACATTATGTAATAGTTCGAAGTTTTTAAAGTTTACTAAAGACATGGGACGATCATACAACAGGTCTGCAGTTTGCAACTCTGTCTGTTCCATGCATGGTTGTGTAGATGGGTGCAGTGTACATGTATGTATGTATTGAGTACATGTACATGCCTTGATAATGGAAAGGGTGTAACTTATATGTACATGTGCCTCTATACATGTACATGCAGTTAGGGTAGTGGTTCTTGAAAAATTGTTGAGAGAAACTGAGAATTACCGGTATACATGTTTGTATCCATAATTGGATGTCATGGAAGGAAGTCCAAGATGTGCTGTGGAATCTTGGAACATAAGGCAAGCATGTTTGCCTTACATACAGTATTTAGACCATTAGAAATTGAGCATATTGGAGATTTTATGCATACATGTAGATTATACTGTATGTACCGGTACCCCCGGTACATACATGTATACATGTACGCACAGTGTACTGTACATGTACTTGTACAAGTACACCTGTAGGGTAGAAATGAGTTGCCCGTTACATATACATGTACACTGTACCTGTATGTTGCATGCACATACATGTAAGTAATAGTAAGTTTGACTATTCGCTTTGACCCCTCAGAAAGGGAGCCTGAAGTTTCACAAATTAATTTTCAATTTAATGATCAAAAAGAAAATGTAGCTAAATAATTGATACATTGATTGATCAATTAATTTATTAACCAAATACAACTTTCCAGATCAGTGAAATCAGCAAATTTTCTGAGCATGGTTTCCAGCAGTCCCTATCCAAAGACGACTGTGAAGTAATGTCAACCCTGGTTCTCTTCTCATATGGCAGAATTCACACTGGGTAGCACACACAGCACCGACGACGATAACAGAGACCAATCAGGTTACGGTTCTGACGAGGAGGCTGTGATGGAGCTATCCCACAGCTTGCTGCTCAACGAGCAGGCCTTGGCTCAGATAGCCGAGTCCAAGCGTCCCATCTTCATCTACGAGTGGCTGCGCTTCCTAGATAAAGTCCTGGTGGCGGCACAGAAGGTGAGACAGGTGGGATTATATAGGGTGAGGGTAATTGGATATTCCTTCTCTCCGGATAGATACCCCCCTCTCCGGTAAGGACAAGTGTCTTGTCTAGGGTTGCTGTACTTGTGCATGTACCAAGCCTACAGCATGCCTGTAGTCCTTCATGTTGGAATAGAATTTCAAAAGAATAATCCATATTCCATCCGTTCTATTACCTGAAATGCTAATGGAACGTGAGTTCCAGCGTTTGTCAGAAACGATCAACAAACAATGGACAGTGTAATCATTTATGATTTCTGAACTGTAATTTCATCCTGGGTTATGTCCTTCAGACTTGACATTCTGCTGAAGGTGGGTCCTTCTCTGAAAAGAAACCGCCAGCAGAAAGCTAAACCAGTATTTAGTAATGTGTAATATCTGCTGATAGTTACTTAACTTTATTTTCCTGAATTTTGAGAAAGTGGCCTCACATGCCAGCTTTGTAATTAGGTTCGGTTCAGTCCAATTAAATTCAGTAGGTCTCACACTGTGATGTTACGGAAGTCTGTGAAATAGAAAACTCTTTGGGGGTTGGGATTAATCGTTCTTTTTCTTCTCATTCTTCCAAAGTCTGACTTGAAAGGCTCCCAGAAGAAGCTTGTTGCACAGCTAACCAATCAGATCACAGAATCTCCCGGGCCACCAACGAGAGCGCTACTGGGCAAGTGCATCGGCACCGTCTTCAGCGTGGGTGATTCCTTTGACCTGTTGGAAACCTCTTACTTCTGTAATGACATCATCAAAAACAAGGATGATTCACCCAGCTTTCTGCCGTCAAGATTGTAAGCACTTTGTGTCTTAATCTCTCAGACAACACAAACAAGATAGAAGTGAAATATAGTTGGGTTGGAAGTTTGAAAGAAAGTGTTCATGTTGTACAAATTACATGTACGTGTATGTTTCATGCACGAACCATTTGTGACTGGACATGTTTGCCCACTTGTAACATGTAACGGCCACATGCCTTAAATAATGACTCTCCAGGGTCATTTGTCTAATATTTGTAGGATCTTTCCTTCTCTAGGCTCATGTTTACACCACTTTCAGGTGCTGTCATTGAGCAATATTTGCTACAGACCCAGAGAATGCTCGACATTTTAACCCATCATCCAGCCTCTGTAGACATAGATTGCCAGATAGTGTTTCCATGTCCTCTGGCATATTGACTGGCTATGAGAGTTTTTCTCCTGAGTACACGTAAACTGTTTTTGTGGCTGATCCAGCCTGAGATATCTTGAAATTCCTCAGACCGAGCAGTCATTTGATCAGGTTGCGAGGCTGCAAAAAATGCCTTTCAACCACAAAGCACTCATTTGGGAGATTGTTCCAAGAAAGTAGTACAGAAGCAACAGATAATAATTAGAAGTAGGTAAAGAGAGGAGCAATTCCTTTCAGGTTTTAATTAGTTGCTACAGTGGTGTCTGATATAACATGACATGTACTTTATCACTTTTGTTGCAGGGCTGCAGTGGCTGTGCTTGGAGCAATGTATGAGAAACTCGGTCGAATGATGGGAAGTAGCTTTCCAGAAACAATTCAGGGCCTTCTGAAAGCATTGAAAAATGCTGAGGTAAGATGGAAGATTATTTTTTATAACAGAATGATCGGATATATGAAAAAGAAATTTAAAAAAAGGGTTAATTTTCTTGTGAACACTAACTAGGCTTTTGGGCTTGGAATGTTCAGAACCCTCTCTGCACTTCACTCTTTATGCTACTCTGAACTACTAGGGGCATTTATATCCCTTTTAACTACTCAGGAGCCCTCCCTTTCCAAATTTTACAGAATCTTCCAAAATTTCCAAAGGCAGACTTGGAAAGAGCTTGGAGGGTTGCGAGTTAATGAAGCATAACTGGAGTTCCCTTTTGGTCAGGCAGGCCCACAAAGGTTTGATTTAGCTCAGGGTGTCAAGCCTGCTGAAGTATCGGACCCATTGTTGCCTATAAGTGCCCATTGTCATCCACGCAGGAAACCCATAACCACATTCATTCCTTTTTCTTTTTCTCTTTTTTTTTTGCAAATGGCAGTCAACAGGACGTTGTGAGATCATGCTGTGCCTACAGAGGATTGTAAAGGGTTTGGGATCTGCCGCTCAGGGCTACCACCGGGACATCTATAAGGCTGTCCGTACTGCTCTACTGGATAGGAGTATGGCAGTCAGGTGTGCAGCTGCCAAGGTTGGTGGTGATGTCAAGATACCAAGCCTGTTTGTTATGTTGAGGATGGCTCTCGCAGATTGACAAATTCACAAAACTCACATGTGGTTCTGAAGATCATTATCTTACAAGCCATATTATTTGCTGTCTACGAAGTGTACCATAAAAATTGGAATACTTGACTGTCACATGAATAAATACTAATTACTCTGCCACTATTTTTGTGGTGTTGTCTTTTTTCATACAAATCGTGTTCTTGCATAGTTATGGTTTTTTGCCAGACCCCTCATAGTTCATAATTAATCAACCAAGACTAAGTTACTGCAAGGTGTGGTTATTCTTCAATATATCAGCACCATTAGTTTACCTTAAGTTAGCCTAGCCAGTGTCAAATTTCTGCAGCGACCAATGTTGAAAATGTTTAACCTCATCGTTGCTTTTTGTCTCTGCAGTGCATGCTGGAGTTGGTAAAAGAAGGAAACTTCCTGCACACGACAGAGCTGGAGAACATGGTGTCAACATGCTTCCGAGCCCTAGACGGCTCCAACTACGACGTCCGCAGTGCTGTGTCCAAGCTGCTGGGGGTTCTTCTTGCTACAACTCAGACCAACATTTCCAAAGGTGAGACTGGGCAACATATTGTTCCTTTATATCACAGTTTTCCCTTTGAATCCAGGGTTAAAAATAACAGCTTTACAGGTAACATTTTTGTTGTGTCATTGTCTATTACTTACTTTAGAATTCTCAATTTGTGTTCTGTAACAAGTGGTTGACATGGTTGAGGAATAAAAGGATTGATGTCAAACTGATTTATGCAAAAATTGGATAAGGACTTTGTTTCTCACAGTTTTTCTATAGAGCCCATTGAGTGCACTCTGCAAATTTGCCTTGAGACTACAGTGTTTATAATTTGTTTGGAGGGATAACTCTGTTTTAAACTTGATGTCATTGTAATATGAAAGGGGGCTCCTCCTACTGGTATTTCTCTCTCCATTCCCAAAACCTCCTTTTTGATACTGGTGACAAATACAGAAGCTGAGAAGACAATTTCATGCAACCGACACAGTGCGCCCCATGGGCCATGTACACATGAAACAGATTCCAAAATTAATTGGCATGTATTTGACCAAATCCACGTTCGCAGTGTGTCTCCCTGAGGGAGATTGCCACATGGTAAAAAATTTGCCTTGTGCATGAAACCACATTGTAGCACCATGTCATGATAAGTTTTGATCAAGCTGCACGTAGTAAGACTGCCCATGGTGTTAATCTTGTTCTTTAATGATGGCTGACGTGTTAGCAGATCCTAGAGCTAAGCGTACCAGCATGGAAGATGTCTACAATCTTCTGTCAGTGGGCTTCGTGAAGGGCACCTCCGGCTTCCTCAAAGCGGGTGGGGGAGAGCAGAAAGGAGGTGGTATGATCAACAGGGAGGTCCGTGTTGGATTCACTCATGTGAGTTATGTCATTGAATTTCCTGATTTAATGAAAGACAAGTTGTTGATAACTGAGAATTGAAGCATAAGTGTATGAAAGTGCCGTCTATGCTAATCCTCAAAGTGGTGTTAACATAGAATCTTGTTTGAACTGGATTACTAGGGTCAAATGAAATTTTGCTTTTTTTTCAGTGTGATCTGATCTGTATTGTGTTCCTATAAAGATTGATTTAAATAAAGTCACCCGTAGTTGGACCAGGAGGAAGGGCCACTTTACCAATTTGACTGCAAAACTTTACTGTTAAAAAGCCTTTGGAAATTAATGTAATAGCCTCTCACTTCTCGGTAAACACCTGACTACTGCTTTTGTTGAGTGAATCTTTACTTTTGTTTTCATCACTATTACCTTTCAGGCCTACGTGGTCTTCGTCAGGACTCTGGGTGGCCTGTGGCTGGAGCGTAACCTGCAACTCTTCCTTGAGAGGGTCCTGGACATTGTAGCCAACCCCCGCTGCACCCCTACCCACGTGGACGCTGTCTACCTCCGCCGCTGCATCACCTTCATCTTACGCTCCACCCTCGGGGACATGCTCGGGGAAAAAGCGCAGGTCTCCTGCTGCAAGCAGCTGTGCGGACTCATCACCAACTACATGAACACTGTTGGTGAGTACAGCCAGGAATACCATTCCCTTTCTGGAGTATAAATGGGTACCAGGGAGGGTACAGACCAAAACTGTTCTGATCCTGAAACGATACTGATCTCATGATTTCATTATTAACAAGGGTAGTAGTCATGCAGTGCTTTTAGACATTTGTATTTTATAAGCATTATTGGAAACTGTTTGATGTACATCCCAAATATTTCTATGAACCAAGCAATTAAAGATGTGGTTTTGTTAATTTCATCTTAGTGCTCCGGTTTTAGACTGTATGTGAATTTCATATTACATGTTTGCTTTGAGGATTATGCATGAAATAACAAAAACCAGTCGGTATAAAAATCTCATTAATTTTCCTTGCATTATTTCACCAAAGAAGAATTTTAGCAAACAGCAATATCACATCGTTTCAGCAAATATTTGTACATCTTTACTTCCAAGAGACTTCTTTGACACTGTGTTGCTTAATCTAGAAACATTTGATCACTGGTGGTGTTTTTGAATTGTCTTGACAGCTGAGCCAAGTGAAGGTAGCGGTCACACCCAGGACAACTCCAACACACAGCATGTCTTGATATGTGCCATGCAGGAGCTGGGCAGCCTGGTCAAGTCTCTGTCCACCTGTGCCAGTACCCTGGTCACTGAGCCCAATGCTAGTAAGTTTCTCAAATTCCTTAGAGGCAATCTAGCAAAGGCAAAAGTGTGGCCTAATGGTTAGGGTTTTTGACTCTATATCAAAGTGCCAGGGGTTCGAATCCAGGTGCTGATTGTACACTGCTACTTCCTGACTACCTGTACTTTCTATCTACAGAATGGTGGAGTAGTGTGAGAGTCTTGCCACCCAGTGTAGAATTCATTACTTTTCCCCCTTACTAAACAAGAGCCCCATTGGGGGACATGTTTAAAAGGATGGCAGTTATGAAGTGCCCTTATCAAACCGGCCGCCCAAACTCACCACAGTGACATTAATTTTTTCACCTAAACCTAGTAAGTATAGAAATTGTACTGTACCTTAAGCAGCAGTACTGTTGGATATGTGCAAAATACACATTACGAGTATTATGTTTTTATTATTGAACAAACACCAACAGCATTGGCTGTGCTGAACCATACAAACTTTGCCGTCTTCCAGATATGTGTGACACCGTGACCAGCGTGCTCCTCCATCCCAGCCCGGCAGCCCGGCTGGCCTCTGCCTGGTGCCTGCGATGCATAGCTGTGGCCCTGCCTTCCCAGCTTACGCCACTGCTAGACCGCTGCACCGACAGGCTCAACAACCTGAAGAGTTCCCCGGAGGCGGTGTCAGGGTACAGCTTTACCATAGCCGCCCTGCTGGGAGGGGTCAGGGACTGTCCGTTGGGCATCCCCCACGCCAAGGGAAAGGTGAGACTGTCCTTGGACATAAAGTTGTACAAATTGTTGGTCACAGGTACTGGTGCTTGTCCATCGTTGAGCTAGTTTGATAAAACCATTGGTTACGCTGTGGCAGATCTGTTGCAGGCAGTGCAGCTTTGCATGAACCTCATCAGATCGGGGTCATGTGTCATTGTGAATCTCTGTTATTTGTGCTCACTGATGTGCTTTGCAATATCGAAAGCTAAAGATAGCCAATAATGCTACTATTCCTGATCAGCGACTCTTGAAAAATCAACTCAGTCAATTGTCAAGCTTTATTGCAATGTGTTAATGTTAGTCCAACTATTATTGGCCATAGGTCAGCTATGAACTTTACATTTCTGAATTGTTCAGACCCTTTGTACGGTGTGTGCTTATTTGTTAATATTTGGGTTGAAAATGCTTATCTTACAGTGAAATTTATGCGTTGAAAGGGAAAGACAGTAGCTTGTCCAAATGGAGTCTCTTGGTAAAACATGACTATCTGCTGTTTTCTAAACAGGCCATTTTCAGTATAGCTGAGGATTTGTTGAGAACAGCTTCTCAGAACAGCCGGATGTCCTTGCATAGAACCCAGGCCAGCTGGCTTATACTGGGTGCAGTCATGACGTTAGGTGAGAATGGAAATTAGTCTTTTTGGTGGACTAGGTGCGGTCGTGATATAGCTAGTTTTTATTTCTTAGAGACTACCACCTGGTCCATAGCGACCATGTTTAGTCATTTGTTTACTTTGTTTAGTATGATGAGAGATATTCATTTGCTTGAGAAGTTCAGCATTCTATTTATGCCTTGCTGAAGCAGTATCTAGGAGTTTCTGATTTCTGTCATATTTTGCTTATCCTAGTTTTTTTTTAAAAGCCTTACTGATTCTGTTGGATATAGCGGGAATCAAACTTGTGATGGTGAAGTTCCAATTACAAGTGCAAGTACAATTACAATTAAACTATAATTGTAGATACTTTTATTAGGGTGCACTGACCAATTCTGCATTTGCATTAACCACTTCGGACCGGGGCGTTTTTCAACGTTGAGGATGCTGGGCCGGCATGACTATCATTTTTTCCGTTTTCAAAATCCTTCAACAATTCATCATTCCATTTGACAGTCGTTTATAGCCGCACGGAGTAATCTTCAGGCACTACTCTAAGTTGACAGGTGGCC